AAATACAGCCTTCTTGTCAAAATGGTGGTGGAGAACTTTTCAACATCGGGAGTAATTTTGGTGTCAAGTTCTAATTGCCAAATATGGTATGGATAGGCAAAAGCTATGGATTGTATGTGGGAGAAGAGGTCAAACATTTTCTTTTTTTGTGGAAATCTATCTTTTCTACGAAACGATTTGTTCAAAGTCATGCTCCGTGCATAGTTGGTGATGGAGCACTGGTGTCTTTTTGGCACTCTAAATGGCTTGGGGATTATGTGTTGAATATCTTATTTTCGGATTTGTTTAGTAGAGTGGTGGCACTTAATGCAAAGGTAGTTTACTTGATAGAGAGAAGGGGTAGCCACGTAGCGTGGAATATTGAATTCAAATTATAATCATATACCCAATTCTTTGATTGATCGATATATTTCGCTGCTGCAGTGTTTGAACTCCATCTACATTTCAAATCATGGCTCCGTTGATTTGGTGTGGGAGCCGAAAAATGATGGCCAGGTTTCTGCTAAATCAGCTTATCGAATGCTTATTATTGATCAATTGATATGGATTGATCTTAATGTCCCTAATATCTGGAAATGACCTATACCCCATAAGTTCAAGTGTCCATTTGGTTGGGCCTTCAGAAAAAGATTCTAAATGGTAGACAATCTCATTAAGCGAGGCAAAGTGCTATCAAATGTGTGTTTGATGTGTAAGAACGATGCTGAAAATGGTCCCCACTTATTCTTGCATTGCTCTCTAGTTTCCAGGGATTGGAGTTGGTGCTTCTCTATAATGAAAATACCGTGGGTGATGCCTGATCATGTCTTAGGTATTCTCACTCACTTCTCTTTTGTGAACATTCCAAAAGAAGGAAAGGTAATATGGATGATCTTAAGGGGAGCAATTGGGAAGTTTGGAATGAGAGAAACCGTATAATTTTTTCAAGGTTTATCTCTTCCTTTTGATAGAATCTTGGGTAACATATTGGTTCTCAATTACTAAAGAAGGGTGGGGGATATTTGAAATTGATATATAGTTAGATATTTCGAACTTGTTTTGGATGAGGACTGTGAAGAGTCGTCCGAGGACAATTTGGGTCTCCTCCGAGGGGCTCCTTCAAACTCAACTTTGATGGGTGCTCTTTTGGTAATCTGGGTGCTTCAAGTATGAGTAGAGTTGTCAAAGATTGGAATGGATCCATTCTCTTTGCCTATGCAGGGCCGTGTGGAGTGGCTACTGCTAACTAAGCTGAGATGATCTCTCAAGGATAGATTAAGGGGTCAACTTTTTATAATGGAGGGTAATTCTTTAAAGGGAAATGTTTATATAAGGATGCAACCTTATAATGTAGAACTACATATGCACTTCAAAAATCCATCGGAAAAGGTAGTTTTAATGTTGAAAAAGCTTTTGATTGATCATCTCGATGCATTTTACAACATATTATCTACACCGTCCATTTTCTAGATTTTCATATATTTATATATCTACTTGATTTTAACTATTTTTGAAATTTAAAATTTTATAATTAGATATAAAAATAGATTTTAAGATAATCCTAAAAACATTTTACATTAAAATTATATACCATGATAAAATTTGAAGGTGCCCCTTACCTCTACACTACGGATGCATCCGTAAGCCAACCACACCCATCTTTAAATGTTAGTATGTAGTGCAAGAGGGAGCATGGAGTGCCATGGCCGCTCCACCAGATGGCTGCAGATTATTGACTTATTTTCCTCCTTGGGAGTTTCTTTTCAACATTTTAAGTAAAAACGGAGGGTACCTTTATCCTATTAGCCAACCAAAAATAAAGCAAAGGTGAATGCCAAACTGAAATTTAACTCTGAAACCCTAATTAGTAATTACAAATCATAATATTTTGAGCGGTTATATAATTCTCTTGCAAAAGCAAAATATTCAGTACTCCCTCTAGCAAATGACATAGGAGGATTTTCTTGATCGGAAATTTTTATATGCACGTTAGAATTACCAGATGAATAATTTCAAAAGAAACAAATAAAGTATTTTGATAACTAAACACCTAGATCTAGCCATCAAAAAATTGGACGATCAGTGAGCGATGATCCTTGGGCATAATTTTGTGTATTTAAAAAAAAAAATCTTAAAGTTGTCCTCTCCCCAAGATTTTGAGTCCCAAAAATTCTCCTAACAAGGATTTTATCTTATGGAGCATTTCAAAAAGGGGTTTTGCCTGAGGAAGCAAATTCACACTGTACTCCTGCGGGAGCATATACTTTTTGGGAATTTCGGTGCTGGGAAAATTTGCGGTTCCCGACAAATAGATTGTCCATCCAAAATAATTGAGATTGTCCATCCAAAATAATTGAAACTACAGGTCCAAATGTTTTATTAATAAGCTTATTATTTTTAATTTTAAAAATTATTTATTTTTTAATTTTCATGATCTCCATGTTAGAGATTATACGACTTTAAAAATTAAATCCAAAAATCCATCTCAGAAATATATTTTTTAGAGGTGACCCATTTCACTATGGACTAATAGAAACCGTCACTTGAATAGAATCAACCAACAATGCATTTTTTATTCAATTTTTCCCGCCCAAATAAGCCCAATTTTCTCTCATGGCTACCCTTGTAATGACCGTTAGCTCAACTCCTCTTTCTTTTTCCTCCAAGACCAACCAAAACCAGAGACCCCTCTCCATAACTTAGTAGCTTCCCCTTCTCCATTCTTGCACAAACGCAAAAAAATTCTCACAAACTACATGCCCAATTCATCAAAACCAACCTCATTAAAGAACCCCAAATTCTGCAATTCTTGTACTCTGCAACAAAATTTGAATTTGCATGCCAAATATTTTGGGGAATTTCATATCCAGAAACCGCTCTTTAGAACATTTTCTTAAATAATTCAGCCAAAAAATTGAACCCAATTGACTTAATTTGGGCCTATTGTCTTATGATTGAGCAAGGTAACAAACCAGATGTATGCACCTTTCTACAACTGATTCATGTGTGCTATGATTTGGAAGAAACCCATCTGACATACCAAATTCATGGCCAGATTGTGAAATTTGGTTTGGAGAATAACCGATATATTATGGATAATTTGATGATGTATTTGAATAACAAGGAAATAGACAATGCCTGCAAAGTCTGAGATAGAATTATTAATAAAGATGTCTCTTGGAACATTTTAATCTCTAGTTATGTCAGGTGTGGATTTGCAGAACATGGGTTGAGACTCTTTAGAACGATGGACGCTGAAGGGGTGGGGCCCGATGAGGTAAACTTGGTTAGTGTTCTCTCTGCTTGTATCAAATTGAAATGCAGGAGATCTGTAAATAGTTTACAGGAGATGGGTATGCCAACCATGCCGTTGATCTATACATGGACACGCAGAAAAGAGGCATGAAACCAGATGAGATTACTTTCATTGAGGTGTTATCTGCATGTAGAAATGGAGGTTTAGTGAAGGAAGGTTATCGCCATTTTGAGAGTATGACCACAATTTATGACAGCCTTAAAGACCCAACATTATGGATGTATGGTCGGGCCGAAAAGGCCTGTCAGAGGAGGCCGAGAATTTCATCAAAGTGATGCCTATAGAGCTTGATGCCTTTATTTGGGGTGCCTTGCTTAGCTCTTGCAGGGTTCATGGAAATCTCAGAATAGCCGAAAACACAGCTAATAATCTTTTAAGGCTTGATCCCCACAATGATGCTGCTTGTGCTTCTCACTAATGTGTATGCAGCTAATAATAGATGGGGAGAAATGGATTTTATTCAAAAGAAGATGAGAGATGAAGGTGTCCTCAAGGCACCAGGGTGTAGCTCAATTGAAGCCAAAGGTTGGTCCATGAGTTCGCATCTAAAGACTTCTCACACCCTGGGCTCAGAAGGAATCTATTCTACATTGGAGGAGATAATGAGGAAGGTGAAACTCAAAGGCGATATTCCCAGTACCTCAGGTCTATAGGTTTCGATTGATAAAGAGGAAGATGAGAGAGAAATGGACAGAGAAACTCTTGCTTATCATAGCGAGAAGCTGGCTCTTGCCTATGGTCTTATCAGTATCCACCATGGTCCCATTAGGATTGCGAAGAACCTTAGGATCTGTGGAGATTGCCACAGTGTGATGAAGCTTGCGTCAGGTATTCATAGTCGAGAAATTATAGTTAGAGACAAATATCGATTCCACCATTTTAGAGTTGGGGCCTGCTCATGTGGAGATTTTTGGTGATGGTTGTAATTTTTCTTCTTTTTTTTCGAACCTGTTAACTTCGTATAAAAGTAATAGAGGAATTACAGTACACAAAAAATTAGAGCTTGTGAAATTCTCTCACAATTTTAATGTTGAAAATTGAAAACAGGATTCTCTTGTGGAACTACAAATGGATCAAATTTGAACCTCAATTGTCAATCACAAAAAAAAGTGTTAAAACTCAGATCAGAACCGCTATTAACATGTGAATCAGATTCATTAGCCAGAAGAGTGCCCTAAATCTACAAAGTTAAATAAACTTCCCGAAACTGAAAATTCAGACTACAAAACATGTCATAAGCTTAGTTCTGGCTCATGTCAAATTGGAAGTAAAATGAGCTTTTCTTGCATTACAATGGTTTGGGGGAAAAGATGGCCATTAGATTTAAATTAGAGGCGAAATTGTCTATCATAGAACAAGTTAAAACCCAGATTAGAACTACTATTAACATGTGAATCAACATAGGTAAAGTAAGATTCATTATCCGGAAGTATCGTAAATCCATATGGTTAATTAAATTTCCTGCAACTGAAAATTCAGACTACAAAACAAGTTGTACACTTAATTATGGATCATGTCTAATAGGAAGTAAAATAAGTTTTTCTTGCAATACAATGTTGGGGGAAAAGATGGTCATTACCTGTAAAAGTAAACATGAGAGAGAGAGAGAGAGAGAGAGAGAGAGAGAGAGAGATTGGGAAGGGTAAAAATCAGAGGAACTTGGAGAACACATCAGTCATAAAAATCAGAAACAACCATAAGAACATGGATCAAATCTGTGAGGCCAGCATTGTCCAATTATGAATATATTTATCGGGCCATACATAATCTCAAGCCAAAAACATTGAGAAAAAACGCACAATAGCCAGTGCTCTTACTGATCAAAATTATAACAGAGAAGACTCAAATTATCGAAAAAGTAAACACTAATATTATCAAAAAAAGTCTCTCCAAGATTGCCCCATTGTCATCCCCAGATTTCCAGAGTACATCACGTAAACAGAAAAATTTACAAAAAAAAAGTCATCTGTGGCTGCAAAGGATTTATATATACAGCACTTGAAGGACAGATGACCAAACTGTTTACCTCGGCAAATCTCATCCCTTTCTGGAGTGGTATGGGCATGAAGATGGGCCTCTTTTTATGTGGCGACTATTCCAGTTGAGAAGTTCTAAGCCTTGCTAGTTGGTTTTGAAGGAGGAGAAGAATGGGCTATTGGTTCTTTTTCCATTCTCTCGTCCACCATAATCTGTTCATTACGACATTGGCAGCTACAAAATGCTTTCTCACCTCTGCACAAAGAATGCAGAGAAAGAGAGAGAGTTCAGACATACTTACTGAAGGGCGTAAATGATAATAATCATATTTTCAGATCATTTCCTAAAAAACTGAAAGAGGGCAAGGGTGTATTCAGAAATAAATTATAGAAGAAATTTCTATGATAAATAATCATAATTTACAGATCATTTCTTAGAATTTGAAGCAATGGATGTTCACATAGTTGTAGAAGGAAATTTATATTACAAATATTCATTTTATTAGATCTTTTCTAAAAAGAGTCGGGACTCTATAGCCATTTTATGAAATGGGACATGGTTTTTGGGGAAGAACATTTTATGAAATGCAAATGGTTATACTTTAGCCTGGTCTATTTTGAGGCCCCACTCTCACTATTAATGAAAATAGGAAAAGAGTGGTCTCTATTTGTCTGCACTGTTGATGCAACTTGATGCCTAACTTTTTCAAATAAGAGAACAAGGAAGTAGAACAAGGAAGAATATAGGACAAGAACATGTATATTTGATGATCTCTAGTAAGCTTTGGGGTGAGAGAAAGGCAACCATCCACTAACAATGTTTACTTAGTATATGAGATATTTTCCAATTCATCATTTTTATGTATCAATACCACACCCATCATACCAAAATAAACAATTGCATTGCTCTCCATGTTTATATCAGAAAAGACAATTCAGAGAAAAGGAAAAGCTGAACCACTGCATATAAAGTAAACTAGGAGGCCTAATTTAGCGGGGAGAGAGTGACCTGTAAATGTAGATGTCTTTGCCATTTCCAAGTTTCTTCTTGCAAGCATAACAAAAGCTCAAAATCTCATTGGATGGATAGCTTGAAGAGATTGTGGAGAGCTTTGCCTCCCAAATCTCAGGCTTGCCATCAGGCAACTCCACTGTGTCACACTCAAAAACACGATCACCAAAAATGTGCTTTGTTTTAGGGTTTGGACCATGAGAAATCACACGTGTGTAATCCTCAGAGAGCTCGAAATCGCTAGGAGAGAGAAACCCATTACAACAATCGAAGCTTATCTTGGTTCCCATGCCTAATTTAGGAGAGCCCAATTCACGAAATGAAGAATCCAGCTGAGGATTGCTGAGATTCACCTCTGAACCAGAGTGACACATGCCGGATTGTGGCAAAGGTTTGCCTGAATCCAGAAAACCAGATCTTGGTTCTCCACGTTCAAGGCATTGATCAGAGCCTGAATCTTGCAATAATTGAGAAGACCTCAAATTGAAATAATTTGACATGATCTTTTTGTGAGGTGAGATAACATAGTTAGGCAATGATTTAGGACTTTGAGAACCAAGAGAAGTGTTTTTACTCTGTTTATGATCCTGACTAGAAGAAATAGGTATAGCAGTCCTTAACTGTGAACCAAGAAGTATATTTTTAGAGTCTGAGACCCCCTTAATTGGATCTTTTTCTAGAGAGAGAGAATCAACAATTCCAAGACCAACCCCTTTGGAGTCACCCCAAATCTTGGCATGGCTTTGAAGGCCATGGCCATCAGGGCCTGATCTTGGGGACCAAAATGGGTTCCCAGAGAATGTTCTGGGCTCTAAAGGAGAAGTGGGGCTTCTTATTGAATCAATGTCTGATGGAAGCTTTGTGTTCAAACCTACAAAGAGGCCTGGAAGAGTGAAAAATGAGTTGCTCTTTGTTCTATGTACTACTGACCCATCAGATGAAACAGAGGAGCTGGTTTGGTCTCTCATGAATGGTTTGGTCCCCTTTTCCACCATTATTTTGGCCGAAAGATCAAAGCTTTCCTGTAAATACAACCATGGATTGGGTGAATAAGGGTACTGATGATCAACAATCGCAATGAAAATTATCATTGAGTTGGTTTCCATTGAAAAAAAGCTCAGATTGTGTAACTAAAATCCACCATAAAAAAATGGTAGAAAATGCCTTAAAAAAAATACACAAAATCAATGGAAACATATGATCAGAAACCACTATGATTATATCATGAATATCATTGTATGAAAAACCCAGTTAATCATTCAATGAAAAAATCCAGTTTAATCATTCAATGAAAACCCAGTTAATCATTCAATGAAAAAACCCAGTTTAATCATTCTATGAAAACCCAGTTAATCATTCAATGAAAAAACCCAGTTTAATCATTCTATGAAAACCCAGTTTTAAATGATAACGATCAAAGATCAACAAGAATATATAGTAAAAAACAAAAATCACTTCACTAAAAGACCCAAAATCAAATGTAAAAAACCAGCATAAAAAAAAAAACCATCAAAGTGATTTTTTCATATCCTGATTGAAATATGAATACCCAAACATGAAAATATAACTAGAGAGAAGGAAATTAAAAAAAAAATCAGATTACATGATCAAGGCCATAATGATATGAAGAACATTTCAAGGAACAGGAACTTTTATTCTAACTGTGTAACATTAACCCAACATTGGAATATCTCTGAGAGGAAGAGAACCAATCTTACATACTAAAAAAAATAAAATACAAAATACAGAAACCCAATATAAAAAATCACAAAAAAAAAAAAAAAAAAAAAAAAAGAAAGAAGGGAGACTAGATTATATGATGAAAATCAAACATGAAAATATCATTGACAAGTATCATCAAAAGATAATTCCTGTTAGATAATTAAAAAAGAAAACCCAAAATGCAGATATGGTTACAAAACTAACAGTGCACAATATATGGTCAGAAACCAGCATTCAACATACCATTACATAGATGTTTCAAGAGAAATAACAGATTGGAAAAACAAAAGCCGAATATGAAAATAACATCAATTAGGCATTTCTCAGATTGAAAACTGAAAACTCTATTCGTGACTGAAGGGGCAAGGACCTGAGAGAGCACTGAAACCAGAGACTGCAGTCACAGGAATCAGAAAGGAAAAATGAAAGGCCACACACTCTGTGCTAGAGATGCCCAAATGTAGTAAAATAGGATCTTTGCTGAGGCTTGTGGAGCACTCTTTCTCTCTCTAACACTCCCTTTGTATCTCTCTCTATAATCTTTACACTTCACTGCTCTTTCTCTCTCTATAACTCAATATAACTTTCTCTCTCTACTCTTGACTGCCCTTTCTCTCACTAAACACACAGTCTCTCTCTTGTCCTCGGAGCTCTTTCTCGCTCTGCATCAAAATCAGCGAGCTCCTTCCTCACCATCGCCTATGCGATGAATACTGTTTAATGAAAAATGCAGTCTAGAGAGAGTACACAATAAACCATTTTTCTCTCAACAATATCGAAAGTATCCCTAATCCACCCCAGAATTTGGATAAAAGTCCAAAACTCATGAATGAGCTTCCTAGGAGCGAGTTTCAAGAAATACCCCTAAATCTTTGAAAAATATCTGAATTAGTCTAAGTGTAATTCAGTTTGCAGAAGGCATGGGAATTAACAAAATTAGCAGGAGTGCTTCGGTTATTTCTGCAGAAAAGCAAGGGCAAATGAAGACATTTAGCCTTTAAGAGTAGTATGGATATTTATGGAAATATTTGGGGTTTCTAGGTACATTAATTGGTGGGGCCACGCTCAAAGCCTGTGATTTTGTATTACTGATTTTTGGCTTTTTTTATCTTTTTTACCCTTTTTCCGTTTCTCTGAACATAGTCAGACAAGGACAGGTGAATTAACTATGGTTGATTTGGCTTGTAACTATAGTTAATTTACTTTTTTTTACATAAATATCCCTAGACACTTTCGTAATATACAATAAAATCCTCTTTAAAAAAATCCTTTTGAGTTGCAACCGCACGGATAGAAGTAAGGATGGCAAACAGGTGGGGTCATTCGGGGCATGGCCCGGCCATTGTCCCAAGAAGACTAGGCCAAAACAATTGGAAAAATAATAAGAAAAAAAACAAGGATAAAAAAGATTCAGGCTATGTCGAGTTGGGCGAGCTCCGGCTTTGGCTGGCTCGGCCGTCGGGCCTAGGTCCTATTCTTTTTAAGGTTGGGCTGCCCGGCCCATTAATAGCCCTACGTTGATATAAGGATGCAATGAATCGATCCGGTGATCCTACCAATTAGATCGTCAAATAGTATCTTGACTAATTTGGTTTAAAGAAAAAATTAGGTTTTGTTGAAAATAAGTGAGAATCGATGTTTGATCGGTTTTGACTAGTGGAACTAGCTAATTTTGACCGGTTCGACTAGTTATATAAAGTTAGAAAAAATTTGTATATATATTTTATATTTTCAAATAATTTTATCAAACTTTCTTTCTTTTTTTTTTAAGCATCGACAAAATCAATTCGATTAACGGTTGGATCAATTTTGATTGGACCAAAACCCTCATCGGTTTAATGGGCGATTAATCATGATAACATTGACCTATATTGTCCACTTCATTTAGATGGTACAGATTTAATACTATCTCAAAAGATGTGTTCGTTTTTTTATGCGTCTGATTAAAATAAATGACGTAGAATATTACAACCTTTTTTCTACAAATAACATCGCAACTTGATATAAACCACACTCAAACATGCCATTTTATAATGCAATCTCAATCGTCAAGGACGGTTGAGATGAACTGTTTATGCCGCCTCCCGGGGCACCAATCGAATGGGGAGGAGGAACGGCTCATCTTAGCCGTTTGTTTTCCCAATAAATGGATAAAGTTGTATGTAGTGTACGTTATTGTTATATTTTTCACCAAAAATAGTGAAATTCGATAATTGTTAAACTTCCTCCAATTAAGAGATGGACTGTTAATGGTAAAAAGAGCATTTAAAATTATGTGTTTCATAATTTTATGGAAATTTACGCCAATATCTCAACAACTTTTAGAATTAAAAAATCTATCCCCAACATTTTGTGATTTACGCTCATATCGTTGTTGCTTTTTACCCCCCTCAAAATGTCATTGGTTGGGACTTTCAAAATCGAGCTGGAAGTATTAACACAATTAATTAGAAAAATATAATTCCAAACTGGTTTTTGAAAAAAAAAAAAAAAAGAAATAGGGAGAAGAGATGGGTTATGCAAGGTGAGGATTGGGGTTCTGGTTTTGAAAATCCGAATATGTGGAAGGAAGACCTGTTTGGAATTACAATTTTCGAACCAGTTTGTTAATACATTTGGTTCGGATTTTGAAAGTCAGAACCATTGGCAATAAAAAATAAAAAAAAGCAGGATATGACCATAAATTACAACATATTGGGGATACATTTATAATGCCAAAAAAAAAGGGGAATATTAGCTTCACTTTCCCTAAAATTTGAATGCATAAATCATTGTGGAGTATACTTTTCCACTAAACGATTATATGTTCCTCGGGTATATGCCCCGACTGTTCAAACCCTATCTAGGAGTATTTTTAAATTTTTTTTAGTTGTAACCTCCTCAACCCGGATACCAACCTAAAAAATTAAACAAACAAATAAATAAATAATAGACGTTGGAATGCTCTTGAAAAGATAATATTGTTAGATTGAACAGAGATTGTCCAACTTTTTAGACAGTCCGATCTAAGTATACTTTGAGACTCAACATTTTTCTCTTCAAAATCCTCTTATATTGATTCTAAATTGAATCTCAAAATTTTAGATAAAAAAAATACTCCTAAGTAGGTATTACATCTGAGACGACCACGAGAGGATGATATACGAATAAATTAATACTTTTTTTATAAATCAATTAACTTTTTTTTTCCTTTGAATAAGTAAAATGCTTCATAATTAACAACCAAAGGTATCAAATGCCAAATCGATAATAGCTTTGTAATATTGCTGATCTGTTCTTTACAAATAAATTTTCTGACATGTAAGTCTGTTTTAGTAAGTTGTTAAGCAAGAGGAAAGTGGTACTTAATCCCTATTTTAGTGAATATAGTTTTCATGCACCTTTTTAAACTGAACCAAAAAGATTCCCACGCAATTGGTGTGTTCTTAAATAGAAACACATTTCATTCCTAAATTTCTTGTCCACGTATTTGTTTTGATCATGTACACTGTGCTCCTACTGTACTATGCTCCCGTAAGAACATACTGTACATCTACTTCCTCGGTTAAAGTACCCACTTTGGGAGATTTTTTAGGTCTGAATTTGGGGAATCATTTAAGAACTACTAGATGATTACTTTCAAAAGAAGAGAATTTGAATTTTGAGATCTCTAACACTTAGATCTCACTCTCTAAAAATTTGACTGTCTATATTCATTCTTCAGATATTATTTTTGTCGAGCGCATAGAGAGTGCAATTAGGTTTTGTTTTTTTTTTTTTTCGGGTTGGGATTAGTCTATGACTTGAAGAGGTTACATCCCCAAAATTTGGGGTCTTAAAATTAATTTCAAATTGGATTTTAGCTGAGGAAGTAAATTGACAGTTTAGTCTCGTGAAAGTACAATATCTTTTTTGCCTTTGTGTTTTGCTTGAAAATTTCTCAAATATGTAATCCAAAAGAAGGAAACGATGGATTATGCAAACAGTGATAATTAAAGTAGAAGAAAGAAATAGGAGCAAAAGGAATAATATAGGAATATTACATGAGAAACTTTTTGACTTTTTTTTTTTTAATAATTTAGTGGGCGAAGATAAGATAGGTCCCTACCCGTTTTTTAAATAGTTTAAGAATTAGTTTTTTTAAGGTGTTAGTGAGGTGGTGTTAATGGAAATGGAAACTACGTGGTGACCAGGGTATGGGGGTCCCACCACCACGATCCCAACCCCTTTTCTTAAAAGAAAGTGGCGACCACAAGGACTTCCCAAGAGGTCATCCATCCTAGTCCTATTCTTGTCAAAGCATGCTTAACTTCAAAGTTCTTATGGGATTCAATGCAATAATACTGGTAAGACTGCACCCAACCTTGTAGATTGGTAATAGCCAACTGACTCCCAATCGATCAAATTTCGAAAGGCATCCACTTTTAGTGGGCATTTTCCAATATTGGCAAAATGATTTTTCTCTAAATTTATATATGTTTCTAAGGTAAGATTTAGGGAAAGGATTCGAATTTGTGAAGTTTTCTCTAAATTTATATGCGAATTGAAACTAGGTAAAAATAAAATAAAATAAACAACGATGGATCACTTTCGAAACTCAAAAGTTCATTTCTTCTCAATTTTCGAAATTGTGGTTGTCAAAATAATAGACTTTTGCAGTTTTAATTCGTCTCTAATATTGATTTTTGGAAGGGGGGGATGCACATGCATCAAGGGACGCACCTAAACCAGATAATGTATAAACTTGTTTCGATTATAAACTTTTTTCACATTCATGAATAAGTCAATTTTAGAAGAAGAAATATGCTTGTCAAATTCCATATCATTTTAAATAAAATAAGTCAATGACCAAAGTGACATCAAATCAAACCGTCAAATAATTAGTTGTACATTTCTTTAAGGGAGTGTTTAACAATTGGAAGTTTCGGCGCCAAAAGCTATAACTTCCAAGATGTTGTAGCAGTTCGTGGTTTGATAATCAAGAATTGCATGGTACTTGAAAATGCACACTTGTTGAAAATGGGAAGTGCTCGCCTCCATGCCTCCAATGTTAGAGTGAGCTTCTCATTGAATGAGAATGGAATATTTTATTTTTTAATCTACTCAAGATGAAAATTTGAGGGTAAATTTGCTAATTAAGGCTCATAAAAAGAAAAACAATTCACAAAAAATAAAATGACCAAAAGGCCCAAAAACTTTATTGGTATTTTTTTAATTTTATTTTCAAAATATTTTTCATAGGTACGTATGGATGGCATATTAATAATCAGAATTTTAGGTTAATCATATGTACAAAGAGACGGATATTGAAATACTCATACACAATCTCAAGACTGAAATACTCCAAGTATGAAACTTCCAAGTTTATTAAACATAGGTTTCATGGTCCTTTAGACTTTCTGACAAATTATCAAATATATTATTCTAAAAAAAATTTATACTATGAGACTATTTACTTTTGATATAAGGAGGTGACAATCATTGTTGACCATTAGATTTGAAATCAAGTGGTTCAAGATATGTCATTGTTTAGGTACATAGTCCAAAATATAATTTCTCGAAAGTTGTAACATACTTTCATCCGTTGGATTTCACATCCGATGGCTAAAAATAATTGTGACATCTTTTTACAAAAAACAAATGCTCTCATAATATACAATCCATGTTCTAAATGCTCTCATAGTATACAAATGCTCTCATAGACTCTGGTGCTTCCCAATTTTCCAACTTC